GAGGAAGATCCTTTGGGGGCAAAAGCCCCGGCCCTGGGCCCGTGTTCCTTGCCACCTCTCTCCTGCACACAGGCCGCCATGATGGCAGAGGAGCTGAAGAAGGAGCAGGACACCAGCGCCCACCTGGAGCGCATGAAGAAGAACATGGAGCAGACTATTAAGGACCTGCAGCACCGGCTGGACGAGGCGGAGCAGATCGCCCTCAAGGGCGGCAAGAAGCAGCTGCAGAAGCTGGAAGCGCGAGTGCGGGAGCTGGAGGGTGAGCTGGAGGCCGAGCAGAAGCGCAACTCAGAGTCGGTGAAGGGCATGAGGAAGAGCGAGCGGCGCATCAAGGAGCTCACCTACCAGGTGCGGCGGGGGGCCAGGGGCCAGGAGTACATGTGGAAGTGGCTTCTCTGGCCCCGCTGCCCCACCCACACAGGGCTCCTGTTACCTCCTCCTTGAGATGCTGTTGGTAGATTTAACCTTCTTCTCACGCTGTGCAGTCAGTTTGACTTGAGCCTATGAGTTTTTCCAGCAAATGAAGAATCTACTTCTACTTCCTGAAAACTCTTCTAACTAGCCTTTCCCCAGGTTTTTTTTTTTTTTTTTTTAAATAACTCAAAGTGCTACCATGAAGACTTCAGAACAGTCCAAAGAATCTTTCCACCTTCAACTGTGGGGTTAAGAGTCAGGCGAGGGGAAAAGACACGGAAATCTTCCATGGAACTTCTGGCACACAAAGAGAAGGCCACAGAGAAAGAGGACCCCAGAATGTTTTAAGACCGCTATTTGCATAGCTCAGAGTTGTGCCGTTGGCCCGTTATTTTCAGCGTACCTGGGAAGAAAAGGCCAAGGAGACGAGGGTGTCAGTCCATTTGATAGATGGCTACCAGAGGCACAAGAAAGAGGTTACAGATACAGAACCACAGAGTGATTTGTGAACAGAAGTAGAAATGGCATCCTGGCACATATAATGATGAAGAGATAAGAATGATTGAGTGATGTTGGAGCCAGTGATCCCGATGCCTGAATTCTGGTCTAGTACAGTATATTAGAATGTAGAATAATCTGGATTATGATAATACCCCCTTCTTTCTGCATTCCTCATTATTCCTCTTCTGGTCAAGAACTGCTGGCCAAGAGAACCTATGTAGGTCCAGGTTGGAGCTTTAGCCACCAGATTGGAGCTGGAACAGATCTGGTGCTTTTATATTACCACATTAGGAAATTCCATAGGTTCCGAGCCCCTCCCCTCACTTCTACTTTTAAGACTTCAGCCTTCATTGCTTTGTGGATCCTTGACTGACAACCCTGCATTGCCCCTTTGACCTGCAGTGGAGTCAGAGAATCTTCCCCACCACATCTTTGACCTGGACCATTGCAGGGAGGGGCAGCAAAGGCAAAGGGAGAAGAGTGAAATGATGGAGGAGGGAAAGGTGATTGCATTTGCTCCCCCTCCAAACTGGCTTCTCCCACCCTCCCACCCCCAGACAGAGGAAGACAAAAAGAACCTGCTGCGGTTGCAGGACCTGGTGGACAAGCTGCAACTGAAGGTCAAGGCCTACAAGCGACAGGCCGAGGAGGCGGTGAGTTCAGAGTTTTCTTCCCTTTCTCATCAACACACCTACTATATGTGAGAACCAATGCATGTCTCCCCCAGAGGGGCCTGGTCAAAGAGTTTGCTATAAGCTGTAACTCTCAAACATTTATTGTACACATCTGGTATGCTCAGAGCCATCAGGTGTTCTGAATTAACAAAGGCACCACCTACAAGCTGCTTACAATTCAGACACCATAACCCAACAGAAGGCTAGTGCAGGACATGGGGCAGCCAAAGCTGAAGGCAGGAAGGTGGCAGTGGAATTAGGCCTGGAAGGGGACCCAGCTAGGCACAGGGCAGTGGGGAAGACATCTGGGTGTATGTGAGTTGCTGGTGAGCATGCCTGCGCAGGGACAGGTGCAGCAAAACAGGATTCTGAAGGGTCCCAGATCAGGCAGCATGGGATTTGTCTTGGGCAGTGGATGGCCGTGAAGGACTCTGAGTGCTGGACATGTTTGAGGAGAGCACAAGGCAGGTGCAGGATACCCTTGGAAAGGCTGTTGCAGGAATATGCATGAGGCATGGGTGCCTCAGGGACAGGGAGCTGGAACCTCAGGTTGAGAGGCTGAGAATCCCACAGCCCATCTCCAGCTCATTCACCCATCCCCATTGTCCCACCACAGGAGGAGCAAGCCAACACCAACCTGTCCAAGTTCCGCAAGGTGCAGCACGAGCTGGATGAGGCAGAAGAGCGGGCAGACATCGCTGAGTCCCAGGTCAACAAACTTCGAGCCAAGAGCCGAGACATTGGCGCCAAGGTGGGTCCCTTCCCTGGGCTTCACTAGTCACTTCCACATTAGCATGCCCCCTGATTTGGGTGCCCCTCGGAGTGGGCACTGCTTGCCCTATATGTAGGCAGTTCTGGGGGTCCCACAGCTCACATAACCTGAGAATCCACTCTCCTGCTCAAAACAGCCCCCCACTGACTGGAACTTCTGCAGAGATCCCCAGTTCCATCCCCCTAAATCACAAGTGCCTCTAACTTGAGACCACAAGATCCCTGGGGCCCTGCCTCTCCCCCCAAGGACATCTCCCTTAGGCCTCTGAAAGCCCCAGGGATTTGTCCCCACACACTTCTCCCTCTTGCCAGCTCCCCACTCACACCTCTTATCCTTGTTACAGCAAAAAATGCATGACGAGGAGTGACACTGCCTCGGGAACCTCACTCTTGCCAACCTATAATAAATATGAATGCCAAACTCTGCCTGAGCCCATCTGTCCTTCCTGCCAGCTGTCCATCCTGGATCAAGGCAGTAGGGGGCCTGAGAGGAGGGAGGCCCCCAGCCCCTGTATCAGAGCTGCCAGAGCCAAGGCATCTCATATCCACAAGGAAAGAGACCGACGTGCAGAGGAGTGAGGTGTTCTGCCTGAGGTGGACAACTGTGAGTCCCAGTTCTGCTCAGTCAATCACACAAGGGCGGAGAGGGAGAAATTTCAAAAGTGGAGAAAACGATGGCATCAAAATGGTGAGCCAGTCCTAGATGGTAGGAGATAGAATTTTGGTGCTGAAGTTGAAGCCACTCTCCACCTACCCCACACCTGAGGCTGCAACGATTAAAGGTGTCCTAGGACCCCCTTTCTTTCTGAAATGAATTTTTCACCAATGCCAGAAAAAGCTCAGAGCTGGCTGAGAATTAAGGTATGGGAAAGGAGATGGGAGAGATTCCATTCTAGTCAGTCCCTAGGAAGTAACTCCCAGGGAGCCCCCTCCCTGTCTTCCCCAGGGGTCTCCCCCTGTCCCCTGTGATTCAGCACCTCACTGTGAGGGCATCTTGAGACTCTGGGGCCAATCAACACTGAGCCCAAACCAATATGCCATGAGGACCAAGCCTGGGCCTTGCTCATTTCATGTTAGTTCTCACACAGACACAGACAGCACAGGTGCCTGTACAGGGAAACACTGCGGTCATATTTCTGCTCTCTCTAAGCTCCTATTGGGGACAGTCTTGCCTGGGTCACACAGCTGCTTGTGGGAGAGGACCGGTCCTGACACCATTCTGCACAAAGCAAATCCCCACTCCCCACTGGGCTTTGCAACCAGGCTCTGCTAACCACCTCCTTAACCCTTCACCTGGCACCCTATCTCCCTGACTCCCCAAGTGGAGCCTCTTCTATCCCTCCTCTGAGACTACGAGAATGGACTGTGCATAAAGCCCTGAGAACTGTGAGCAGTGACCAGAGAAACACAAAATCCTGTTAGTTCTAGCCCAGGAGAGGCTGCCAGCCCTGATGGTGAACCAGGACACAAGGATAGGAGAACAGGAAGCAAGAGGCAGGAAAAAGACCAAGAGAGAGGAGTGGTTGCCACCAAGGAAGCAGAGCACAGTGACCAGAGTTCAAGATCCAGGGCTCAGGCAGGACTTGGGAGCTGGGGCCTGCAGCTGGAAGGAGCGCTCCAGAAGAAAGATTGTATCTCAGGGCAGGAACACACATGCATCAGGGAGAGGAGATAGCACGTCAGCTGGGATGGAACTGCTGAGCCAGGTCATGCTGGGCTCCTTGGGCTGGGCAGGAACGTCTGGCTGCATGTCCGTCTGTCTCAGCCCAGCAGGGCTGACTCCCAGGCTGCAGCAGTGTCTGCTCCAAACTCCCCCGAGCCTTCCCATAGCGTTCACCATGGGGATGCCTTGACCAGCTTGTCTCTTTCCCAGCCTTTGAGTACTCAAGGGCAGGCCCCCCTGTCACCTCTGAGGCTCTGGCACCCAGCACAGAGTCTGCGCATGGGAGATGCTCAGGAAATGTGTGCTGAGGAGCTGGCAAGCTGGGAAGGTGGACCCACAGTGGAGGGACGAGTTGGCCGTTCTTTTCTGAGCTACAAGGAGGCTCAGTACAGTATCCAGAACACTCGCTTAGGTGTCAGAAGAGCTGTGTTCTGGCCCTAGCTCTGTCACAAATGAGTTCACCTCCCCTAGCTGGGCCTGTTTTATCTTATGTGAAATGAGGGCATTGCACCAGCTGATATGCACAGGCTCTCCCAGCATTCACATTCTGGGAAATCTCTCCCTTCTCTGATGCCTCAGGCTGCCCTCTCCCTGCGTCCTGTGGGCCAAGTCTTCCCCACACCACAAGGGGGAGCTCTGCACACACCCCAGGCGAGTGCCTCGCTTCCAGCCCACTAACCTATGGGAACAGGTGTGGTGGTGGGTGCACGCTCCCTTGAGGAAGGCTGTGCCTTCTTAGACACAGAACTCCAGATGCCCAGCCACCAGGCACACCACAAAGTGGCCATGCACACGGAGGTGTAGCGTAGAAGTTTTGTGTTGGAAGATGTCTTCAGCTTCTTCTAGCTAGCCCCCACATCCTCACTGCTCAGACACGGTCCCAGAGACAGACCACGACCTGCTCCCGCAACATTCCCATGAATACTCCTTGGCATTCCTGACCTGCCTAATTTCTGGGGAAGAAAGAGACTTGCCAGTAGAATTTGAATATTTTAATTTGGGAATGACTTAGGGGCCCAGATTCCTCCCCACCACCCTCCCTTCCCCCATAAGTTCCCCTCCTCTGGCCAGAGCTTCATCAGGAGCCAGATCCCGGAGCACCAGGCTCCACAGATAAGTTCCCAGTGACGTCTCAGGCTGGACATCTCCGTAAGGCTGGGGTGGGGTTTGGCGGCCTGGGGGTTAGTGAATCCCAAGGAGACGTGTCTGGGCTCCACTGTCCCCTCTGGCTGGCTAGGCCTAGAAGCCAGGTAGCCCCAGAGTCACTGCTGGTCCCCTGTGAGGATGGAACCAGGTAGAGAACCACGTCAGGATGAGTAGCTAGGGTTGGGGAGGGCACCTCCTCTCCACAGAGCACGGGCACTCACCCTGGATGGCCCCGGGTGCCATCTCAGTCCGGTAGATCTTGAATGCATCATAGGCAAAGACGGAAACCAGGATGATGCCAAAAACCTGTGGGAGTGCAAGTGGGGATGGGAAAACAGGCTATCTGGCCATTGGGTTAAGGTATAAGGCGAGGTGCAAGCCAGAACCCCAAGCCCTGGCTGTGGCTTCTGACACAGAAAGTGTGCAAGCACCAGCCTGAGCTCTTGAAGGGCTGAGGAGTCCTGCAGGGCTGAACTCACAAAAGCAGCAATGGCAGCTCCATCCCGGGAGGTCACAGCTGCAAAGGAGACCACCAGGAAGATGATGATGGCACTGACACAGCGCAGGAAGTCCTGGGGGCCAGGGGTGCAGGGTTAACAGGACCTCAGAAGGCAGGGGGCGTTGCTCTGAGGTTTTCCAGGCTAGCCAGAAGCCCGACCCTGAGGGATTCTGAACCCCTCCATGGGATACCCCTCACACAATATGAAGCACATTCAAGAGACAGAGTGCTCACACTGCTACCCAGGGAGTGGAAGCAGATGAACCAGAGCAACCAGGACAAGAAGCCAGGTGCTAGGGCTGGAGCCCAGGTGACAGCAGCTGGAGTCCACCAGCCAGGGGGGTCAGGCCAGGCCAGGGCTAGGGCTGGACCTTTGCTGAGTGGGAGAGCAGATCTAGCGGATGTGGTCCTCCTGATTGCCCATGGCCCTGTAGCTGTGAAATCAGTGTGAGTCAAAGCACACCTTTGAGCGCAGGGCATAGCACGGGGCAAAACCCAGCTGAAATGTGGAAATGGAAAGAAGCTCGGGGAGGAAAGGAAAACACACCATTTAGAGGAGAAGGAAGGGCCCCAAACTGGGCTGGGGGTCAAGGTTTCTCACCAGACAGGGCCAGTTAAGCCGGTTGAAGTGCTGGTAGTACTGGGTGGCATAGAGGAAGAGGAAGGCAAGTGTGATGAAGAACTCCAGCAGCGCCGCGGCCATGTAGGCAGAGATGGAGGCCGTGAAGCAGATGAAGATGATGAGGGTCAGGGCCTGCAGTACCGAGCATGTGGAACATGCCAGGAAGGGGACACAGGCAGGGGCCAGGGCTTTGCTTTCCCCTCCTTGGAAGCTCCCCTAGGCTGGCATCTACCACCTGTCCTTGGAGGGAAGGAAGGACTCTGGCACATCTCCCTATTCCTTGGTGTTAGGAACCACTGTTGCAGGGCATTTGCCCATCAAGGGCAGTCTCCGGCCTCCCATTCTGTTCACCCAGCAACCCCAGCAGTCTGGCCAAGTCATACGGCTCCCAGGAGCACTATTCCACAGTAAATCATGGGTACAGTGTGAATGCCAGCCCCTGGAGTTGTGCCCACAGAGACCCCACTCCACAGGGACCAAGAGGCGCCCCCTGCTCCATAATGCTTTCCCCACCCCTAGATGCCTTTGATTCCATGCCAAGAGAGAAGGCAGACGCTGCACAGTAGACTCTGGGGACCCCTTTAGCTCTGATGACCTAGGGTGGCATACATGCAGAGGCCTTAAGTCTACACTGTGGTCTTGCTAAGAAGGGGGAAGATCCTTTCCTGAGAAGAGATGTTTCTGGGCAGCAGACCACAGATAAAGTGCAGCTGCAGGAAGTCTGCCCTTTTTGATAGTTAGACTTCTCGGACATGCTGAGAAGTGGTCATGTTAGAGGCTGTCATTGCCCCTGTCCCATCCCTATGTCTCACGCTCCCTCAATGTCCCAAAAAGTCATCCTGTCTAACTGCAGTCCTTCCTGCTGCAACTGAAACCTGCTGTAAATGCCTCCAGGTGCAGAGGCAGCAAGAAGGCAGAGTAGGAGACGAAGAAGGGGCAGCTGGGGGAAGGAGGGGTGTCCAGAGGGCCTGGGGAGGGAGGCTACTGAAGGGCAAGCTGGGGACTGGCATAAGGCTGGCCAGGAACCAGGGGTCAGGGAAATGGAGGCACCAGGTTGGGGAGGCAGCTGTTACCAGCTCGGTTTCCAGCAGGATGCCTTTGTGGGAGGTGAAGAAGGCCTTGTCCACCGCGAAGCCCTGGAGCTCTGCAACTACCCCCTCCTCAGGGGGCCGGTCCCGGCGATCCCGAACACTGAGCATCTTCATGGGGCCCACCAACACAGCCCCTACTGCCAAAAGCCCAGCAAGAGAAACAGAAATCTGGCAGGATGGGGAAACAGACAGGAGCAAGAAGGCACTTCGAGAAACCTGAAAGTGAAGCAGGAGCCTTGCCCACAGGGCCCCGCGAGAGAAGGCAGCCGCTGGGGGCCTTGCCCAGATGGGCCTTCACCCAGCTGCCCAGAGTGCCTCTGCTGCTGCCCGCACCAGCCCCCTAGAGACCCATGGGGAGGGGCAGAGAGGGAGGAGGCTCTAATCCCTCCCCTTGCTTAGAGCCCAACCCAGCCTGGAATAGAGAAGGGAGGGAAGAGGAGGAGGTCCGAAAAGAAACTGGGAGGAGCTGGGATGTGAGTAGAGGAACAGGGGCAGGACTGGGAGCCCCCAGGGACCTAAGCCTGAAGACATTTGTGTCCCCCTTCCCTAACTTTAACCCTCTTCTTTGGCTGGTCCTTTCTCCCATTTCTTTTTAGGGAGGGTGTGAGCTGGAGCCCAGCCCAGGCAGCACCCCCAGGACCAAGCTGCAGCAGCCAGGACTGGAGGACAAAGGCGGATTGTTGGGGGACAAGGGGGCGCTGTGTGCCTGCTGCAATGCCTCAATGGACCTCTGTCTCTCCAGCATGCTGGGAGCGCAGCCTGGCCCCCACCCTGGTGTTCGGGATGGGCCAGGGAGACAGAGATGGGAGAGGACGGGAGGGTGCAGCAGAAACTCTGGAGGGCAGAGAGAGCTGGCAGGGTGGACAGAGGTGAGGGCTGATGGTGGAAAGAAGGGACAGGCTGGGAGACCGCGAGGTGTTCAGGCACCACAGATGCCAAAAACAGATTAGGCCATTTTAAAATAAAGATATTTATTTGGATAAATCTCTATACATTCAATAACAGCTTCCTCCTCAGAATCATCCATGTCAAAAGACCAGGAACTACACCAGAATGCACCCAAAGTAGATGCTTCCTGAGTGATGAGTAAACAAGCAAGCCAATAAAATGAGGGGCTCTTTCTTCTCCGGCAAGGGGAAAATATTTAGAAAGTGCCTGTGCTGGGCCAGGATAGCAGGGGATGGGAAGAGAGGAAGAGACAGGAGTGGTGGCCTCCAGAAATGGGCAGAACTTTGAAAACCTTTCCTGAGAGAAAATGACAGGACACCAGCTTCCAGTGGCCCTAAGCAGCAGTTGCTCTTTTCAAAATGTGCAGAAGTGCAGGTTTCCCCCGAAGCCCCCCATCCTGTCCTGGGATCTTGCTGCTGCAGACGGCACTTCACAGGGGCCAAGCATCTGGGCATCCTGGCCCTTCGTGGCAAGTGGTTGTACACCTGGCTCCAGGTTTCCCAAAAAGGGACCAGCCTCCAGCAAGTCCGGCTAGCCCATCACACGGGGCCGCACACACACACAAGCCAAGGAAACACGGTACAGCCTGCGCTCCAGGCAGTAGCCCTTGTGGTTGCCCTTCTTGCCATGGCACGGCCGCCGGTAGAAGACAGTCTGGTTGTGGTAGAGCAGCTCCGAGTTGCCCCGGGGATCCATGTGGGAGCCTGTCTGTAGGCTGACGCAGTGTGGGCACAGGCAACGGGCGTGGTACAGGTCCTGGGGGAGCCGGTTCAAGTCTCTGTCCAACCTGTGGGGGCGGCACTTGTCAGGCCCTGGAAAGATGGGCCAGAAACAGAGAGGGTAGGGTGGCGTGGGAGTGCCAGAGGAAGGAAATGGTCCCTCTGGGGCCTTGGCCTCTTGTCTCAGTTCTGCACCCACTTGCTGTGTAACTTTGGATAAGTCACCTCCCTCCTCTATTAATTTTTCCCCACTGTAAATGATGGTAGCAGGTGACAGAGTACTTTCCAACTGGTCCTGGGACCCTGAGGGAGGCAGCGGAGGGTGAGCAGGCTCCTGCCTTAGCCTCCATTGACTAGCACTGCTTCTATCTGGCTCAGCATGAGGTTTCTTACTGTAATGATTACACTTTAGATTTTTGTTTGTTTGTTTGTTTTTGTTGTTGTTTGTTTGTTTGTTTGTTTTTGACAGAGTACCCAGGCTGGAGTGCAGGGGCACGATCTTGGCTCAACTGCAACCTCCACATCCTGGGTTCAAGCGATTCTCCTGCTGCGTGCCACCATACTTAGCTAATTTTCATATTTTTAGCAGAGATGGGGTTTCACGATGTTGGCCATGGTTGGCCAGGCTGGTCTTGAACTCCTGACCTTAGGTAATCCACCCACCTGGACCTCCCAAAGTGCTGTGATTACAGGCATGAGCCACCAGGCCGGACTTTAGGCGGTGTTTCTATTATTATTATTACAGCATTATTGCAAAAGTAAAAACTACTCTGACATCCAAGTATAAAAGAGTATAAAGAGTGAAAGCTAACAGTCTCTGCCTACCAGTCCCACTCCCGAGAAGCTATCCTCAACTATTTCCTGCACATTCTTCCAGACGCTGTACAAGCTTATATTATAAGCATACTTGAGAGTGCATGGAAAGACTTCTTTACTTATTCTGAAAGGATTTCATGGCAAAAAAAATAAAAAAAGAAAGATGAAAAACACTGAAAAGTAGATGTCCCATAGGTCTGCGACTCCGTTAGTCTGGCAGGTGACAGTCCCCAGCTTGTAGGACTATTTCCCACACAGACAAGCCCTGGCAAATGGGTTTAGCTAGCACACCACTTCCCAAAGTGGGTTCCCTAATAAATCACCTACACCTGTTAGGTGCTTAAATGAATTTGGGGAACACTCGTTTAATGGTTTACTTTCTATAGACTTCTTGCAGACTTTAATGTACAGATGACAGTATGAATCTCCAAGGGGTAGGAGATAGAGCAGTCTTTCCTAAGTTTACCTGGCATAACTTTTTTCTGAGAAGCAGCTCACGGGATGAGCGTTGCACAGAACACACTTTGGGGAAAGCCACCTGAGTGGTTCACAGACTCCCAGCAAGGGGTCTGGAAGACAGCTGAGTTAACCTCTGGCACCCAGCCTCCCCTAAGAGGCTCCCGTGCCATCTGATTTGGCCCAGGACCCAGCCGGCTTCTGAGACCGCTCCAAAGCATCATGACCTGTAGTATCCACACTAGATCCAATCTCAGTTAAATCTGACCCCCTCCCCACCACTGAACTTCTCCATCCACCCCAAAGCCAATGCTAAGACAGAACTAGAAGGAAGAAGTGAAATCATACGTCTGGAATCCCTAAGACCCTAGTTTTTAATATTTTGCTTCATTTTTCTTATTTCAGCGCTTCCTAATAGTTTTCATATCATGGCACAAATAGAGAATTATAATATTTATGTGGCACACTGAGTGAAAGAATACAGTAACCATGATAATGATCAAAGATATCCAGTCCACAGCTCCAGTCAGCCAGCTGCCTGTAAAAGTTGAGGGTTTCACTCCCTTAGTATGCTTATAATTAACCCATTCATGGCCCGGGCAGTATCATTTGATATTGGGATGCTTCATGCCTGTATCATGCTATTATTCCCTAATATTTTACCCAGAAAAACATGGGCTATTATAGATATTTTTTTAAAAGAAAAGGAGAGAACCAACATAAATACAGACTTTTACATAGATTATATTTCATTTGATTTGCACATTAGCCTATGGGGCATTGTATCATTTTACAGGTGAAAAAAAATCCTGAGTTTTGAAAACTTGAATTGACTCAGGATCATCCAATGAGAGTTAGAACTAGGACTCGAATACAGATCTTGTCCAATTCCCAAACCTTTACAGCCCCTCCAAGATCAAAATGGGAAAGTAAGCTGGAACTGCCCTGGTCCCTCACACGTACCCTGACCAGCACACACAGGGGAGCACGTGCAGGCATTCGGGGGGGCAGCAGACTCACTCATATCTCCAGGGGGAGATGGCCCTGCTGTTGAGGGGTCCATCTTCACTGGCCCTACAGGATACTGAGTGGAAGTCGAGGCTAGTCGGCTTTAGGGGAGACACAGGCACAGTGCTCCACCTCAGCAGCTCCTCAGACGGGTGTCCTTTGCTGGGGCAGCAGCTGGGCCAGTGGCTGTAGGTGTGGGTTCCCATGACCATTGCCAAGAATGCAACCACCTGTAGGAAAAGGCGAATGAGAGAACTGTTCTCACCTAATCTGGGTTGCCCCCTCATCTGCACCCTCCCCCTGGGATCCCAGTTTCTCACTCCACCTGGCCCCCTTCCCCAAACCTGGCAGCTTGGCCTCCCTCCACCCTCAGCAGCATCTCTGCTCCTCTCCCTCTCAGCATAGCCCTCAAGCAGCCCTCTGCACTGACCTGGTACATGCTGGGCACTGCGCACTCAGTCAGGTGGAGCACTGGCTGACAGGCCTCCTGGAAGCAGGCTGACTGGAGCAGGTTAGGAGTCCTGATTTTATTTTCAGCAAGCCTGTTTTGTTTATTCAAATTTATTTCCACTATCTTTTTAGGGAGTGACTTGAGATTAAAAAACAAAACAAAACAAAAAACTCTGAAAGTATTTCCAAAGGCTGCCTAAAATGCGATACTCATGGAAGTTGTGATGACCATCATTATATGCCTGGTAGCTGATTGGGTAAACTTTGCTCTTTGAACTTTTCTAGACGTGGGGTCAAAGCAATAGCGGTCTGCTGTTCTGTGTTCTTGTGAACTGGCATTAGCAGAATTTCCCTGGTTGGTTTGGTAGCCAAAATTAGGAAATGTCTTGTGGCCTCCCTTCAAGAGGCCTCATTTCCATGATCCATTCTGCTCCCATCCAGGGTCTGGTTTCACCATTCCCCTCTTCTCAGGTGTCCTCCTGATCATCCACCTTCGTGATTATTTCCTTTCCCTTAGATAACCTTTGACTCCTATCCCCTTTGTTCTATGACCTCTTCCACATTTTCGATGACCCCAAAATTCTATGACCCCCATCATCTGTGACTTCTCCCCCATTGTCCATGACCTGCTCCCTAACTCCCCCTTGCCCTCGCCAGTCACTGCCCCCCACCCGGGTATACAAGCCTACCCTCACAGGGCTGCCGGAAGGCCCTGACTTCCTGAGTTTGTTGACTGGATGGGCAAGGTCTGATGGAAGAAGCTGTGGGTGAGTGTTCCCATTGCACAAATGAGAAAGTGAAGCAAGGAAGAGGAGGGAAACTGAAACAGCCTCACGTAAGACCCAATAGGAAGGAGGTCTCAGTTCCAGGGACCAACCTGCTCTCATTCACAGAGCCGTGGGGACCAAGCCTATGACAGGGCCAGCTACTGCTTTCAGGCCAGGAAGTGAGCCCACTCAGCCTCAGCAGGCCCAGAAACACGGGCCACTGTCAGCCAGGAGGGAGTATGTGTGCCCCAGAAAGGCTTAGAGTTGAATTTGACCCCAAAGACACAGGTCAGCCGGCTCCAGGCTGCTTGAGAGACACTGTGCTGAGAGTGGGCCAGCCCGTCCTTCCCCCCAGGTCCTTCTCTTAATGCTTGCCTATTGGCTTGCCTCATCCCCCACACCCACCCAACATACCCATACGCAGACATTGCCCCTAGAATGATGCGGCTTGATTTGCATGTGCTTTCCCTTAGAAAATACTCCTCTAGTAACCAAGGACTCAGGAAATAAACAAAAGGAACCAGGAATAACTTAAACTGCAAAGTGAGGAGGAATCTTTCCAATGCATTAGGGCAAAGCAGCCCCAAAAGAGAGAAGTGATGAGGTCAGAGGGCGCTCTGGAAAATTGGGAGAACCTGCTCTGCTCTGGTGAGTCTTGGGGCACCTGGAACTGTGGGATGGGGGGCACTTAGAAGAAGCAGGTGGTGGCTGGGAGAGCTGGGGCACTCAGGAAGAGTCATGAGGCCAGTATCATGGCCCTACTCTCACTGCCTCACCCTCTGCCCCCACTACTTGCAGACGTCCTCTCCCTTCCATATCCTGCTGGCCTCAGCTCCTGTGCACTTACATGTGCCAGGCATGGTGCTAAGCCCTGGGCATGCATCATCTCATTTTATCCTTACAATGAAACCATGACATGGAAACTATTATCCCCATATTACAAATGAGGAAACTGAGGCCCAAGGAAATTTAGAAACTTACCCAAGATCACAAAGAAAGAGGCTGAGCTGGTTTCCCATTTCCAGCTCTGACCAATTATTCCACATATAACCTGGCATGGAAGTGCCACACCGTGCCTACCCCCAGTTGGCTGTGAATGGAAGGGGAGCCCCACAGTGAATGCTTTCCTACTCACCTGGGCTTGGGTTGGGACAAGTTTCAACAGCACCTGCTGAGGGCCACAGGGTGTGTCTGCCTGCTTAGGCATCCAGCCCTGCTATTGGGATTCACTGCACTAGCTCCCTTTCCTAGCCTTTGGTCTGGCAGACATGGCCTCAAGGTGGCTTCTGGTGCTCCTGGGAAAACTTCAATCCCAAAATAGACTCTTACGAGGCAGTGCTGTTTCAGGAGAGCTGGATTCCTATGGATCTCACTCTCACCAATCAGAACCTCAGGGCTAAGAAGGTAGTAGAACTGGAGTTGGCTCAGATCTCCTATCTTGACCCCTTCCCAGGAGGGGATGTTCAAAGGAGCCAGAAGTGATCCCAGCTACCTGTTTCACTTGCTGACACTGCAGGGAAGACCCAGCCTAGGTCACCAGGAACGTCGCCCTTCAGAAGAGTCCTTTGGGGTGTCCCTTTAGGACAGAGGGATAACCCCTCCAGGAAGGGTTGGCTTTTCCCACCCCCATGATGACCAGGACTTACCTGAGAAACTGTGCTCTGAGCCACATGCCCCCACCCCACCCCACTTGCTCACCCTCTGTCCTTATCTCAGTAGCAGCTTTGTGGGACTCCTTAGGGTGACTCCCTGTCATGAGAAACATTTTCCAGTGGGGTTTCCTCCTGCGGTGACTAGTTTTGGAATCTCTGAGTCACTTCAGGTTCCAGGGAACCCTTGGGGGTGTGAGGATAGGCAGGTGACAATAGGGAGAAGGCTGGAGGCAGGGAACAAAGGAAGGTCCGCATGTCACATGACATCAAGGTCCCCTCCCAGCACGTCTTCACCTGCCTAGGCCTGACCTGGCAGCTGAAGAGACCTTCCTGGGATTCCTGTCCCTGTGGCCCTGAGGAAAGAGAGAAGCACCTGTCAGGAAAGGGCAGGGAAGATGTGGTGGAATACACTTCCCAATCTTGGCTTGGAAAGGCTCTTGGGGCTTGCAGAACGTGAGAATATGTCTTCCCTGCCCCTTCTCAGGAAGATATGCAAGTTTCCACCTGCTGCCTTGAAGTCTTGGCCCTGCCAATGACCAGCTCTGGACCTTGGGCCCTCTCTGTGCTCCTCCCTCTTCAATTGTAGAAGTGGATGGGTTTGGGTGGGCGGGGATTGGGGGGAACATTAACCTGGATGGCCACAAAGGTGCCAACCAGCTTAGCTGCTCCAGATCTCAGCTCCTGAAATAGTGCTGAATCCATAGGACTCATCAGGGCCTATCGAAGCTCATCGGCACTCACTGTACGTGAAGCTAGGGCACTGAACGTCAAAATGTTGAAATACTTCTGCACCTGCTGGTAAATACAAGCTTCCCTCAACCTTGGGACATCACCTTACCATACCTCTCTATGATCCAGCAACTAAAGGTTGAACACCTGGCACAGATGGAGGCCCCCAGAACAGTGCTCCCACTTTCTGATTGGTAATGGTTTAGCTACAAAAACGCCTAGGCTCAGGAGCAGCCTTCAAGGAGAACTCAGTCTAGACCCTGGGAGACACATGGAGAATCAGAGTTAGCAGAACAAGGAACCCAACAAATCCATGTCTTTAGCCCAGGGCTGGAGCCTTCCCCAGGAGGCCCCTCAGCTTACTCAGCTTTGTCCTATGGTCATGGCTGCCTTCGTTCACTCATCCACTCACCTAATATTTATTGTGCACCTACTGTGTTCCAAGCACTATTCTAACTACTAGAAATGCAGAGGCGGATAGGCCAGACAAGGTCCCTGCCTCATGAAGCTTACGTTTTAGGAGAAGAGAGATGATAAACAAGGAAACAAGATAATTTCTGATAACAATAAGTGCTATGAAGAAAATGAAACAGCATTATGAGATAGGGAGTTACTGGGGGTGGGAGAGAGGAAGGCGGGGCAACTTTAAGTTGGAAAGCCAGGAAAGGCCTTTCTGAGGATGCAGGATTTGACCTGATGACGGAAAGGGTCTGGGGGAAGTGGTTTAGGCAGAGAGGGCAGGACATGCAGAGTCCTAGAGGTGGAAAACAGCATGGCATATTTGAGAAACAGAAAGGACAGTGTAGATGATGAACAAGAGATAAGGACGAGAGATGAGATGAGGTGAAAGAGGTAGGCAGGGAGCAGATCACATAGGGTCCTCCAGGCTACCACGGAGCATTTGGATTTTATTCCAGGGTCAGCAGGAAGGTATTGACTGGATTCAAGCATGAGCTACATGATATATTTCTTGAGGACAGGCACCATGTCCTTGACGTGCTAGTGCCACCACAGGGCCATCACCAAATAACAATAATAGTAGTTGCCTTTGTCCAGAATTTGCACCTCATGGGCCAGATACTGTTCTTGGGATTCTCTTAATCCTCATAACAAGTAAATGCTAAAAGTTTGATTAACACTCCCACTTTACAGACAAGGAACCAGAGGCTCCAGGAAGTCACAGAACTTGCCAAGGTAACGAGCCAGTGTTGGAACCAGAATTAGAACCCAGGCAATCTGGGTGCTATGGGTCCAAAGAGAGGAGGACTAAAGAACTGGTGAGCACCCAAGAAGTTTTGGGTAGCAGGGGAAACAAGGAGAGGTCCAGGAAGTCTTGGGGTCAGTTGAGGAAAAAACCAGCTCATTGGACCTGCAGGGAAGGGGAAAGAATGGGAGAAAAGACTAGGACCCAGGAAGCCAGATGGAGGGGTTCCTTCCTTTCTTCTCCCTGAATATGGCAAGGGCAAACCTTGAAGACCTGCTGCTTGAGGCTGCCACCCACCCAGGGTCTCAGCTACCTGCCAAGTCTGGGTTTTCTCCCACCTCACCTGCCCTCAACAACGAACACGTTCAGCTTTCAGGAAAGCACAAGTCAGAGGGAAAGCCAAGGTAAAGAGGAAAAGCCACGGAAGAAAAGCACTGTGCCTGGCAATCTACATAAGCATACTCCTCACCAAAGTCACTGCCACAGAGGAGGAACTGAGACTCGGATGCCCTATAGCTGGACCAAGGTCACACAGCTAGTTAAGTAGGATTAACTAGTTGTGTGACTCTGACTGGCTACATTCCACACCTGGGTATTCCAGAAGCAGTCTTATTCCCACTGGTCTGCCCTCTGCTGTCCCTCTTCTACCCTTCCCCGGGCAGGGAAGCTGCCTGCCCATCTCCCAAGCCACCACCTTGCCTGGTCCTAGCAGCTTCCTTCCTGCTTAGCCTTTTCTGGCCT